GGAAGGAAACTCAGAAAGGCAGTGTGTATTTCTCATAGTTAAACAGCAGTAGAGGGAGGACTTGACCACAGGTGTATGTAGCTCCATAGCTGGGGTTCTCTACATGCAGCCCCTTGCTTTAGTGTGCAGGGAATGAATGGCAAGCCTGGTCCTCGATCCCAGCAACCACTAACTGATGCCTGTGTCTTGCAGAACTGCTGGAACTGTGGCCGCAAAGCCAGCGAGACATGCAGTGGCTGCAATATCGCGCGATACTGCGGCTCTTTCTGCCAGCACAAGGACTGGGAGCGGCACCACCGCCTCTGTGGTCAGAACCTGCATGGCCAGAGTCCCCACAGCCAGGGTCGGCCGCTGCTTCCTGTAGGCAGGGGCTCCTCTGCCAGGTCTGCCGACTGCAGCGTGCCCAGCCCAGCCCTCGACAAGACCTCGGCAACCACATCGCGTTCCTCCACACCTGCTTCGGTGACAGCTATCGACACCAACGGACTCTGAGCCCCGGACTCTACTTACCCTGATGGCTGCTCAGCACCACAGAGTGCTTGGGCTGTGGGACTGGCTGTTGGAACCCATGCATGTAGCTCTGCTGGGTCATTAACAAGAAATGAATTGGAGGCAGGAAGAGTCCAAGCCTGAATAATAGCGCCCCACAGCCTCTCTGGACACTTGCTGTCTGCGGAGCCAGTGTGCCATTCTCTGCACGTGGGCAGCCGGCCCAACCTGCCTCCTCCATGGCTTTCCTGGTTTGTTCCTCCCCACTGAAGCTGACTTAGCCAGCCCCTTTTCAGTGTAGACCACCAGCTCCCCTCCCCGTCTCCTTGAGTCAGCAGACTGTGCAATGTGCTCAGCCAGGCTGGAGGCAGCAGGCAGCAGGCTGTGGAGGAGGCCCCTCAGACAGGGAGCAGCCTGCCTCACCCCTGAACAGCTCTTTCGGCCCCATCTCCACCCTCAGCAGATGACACTGATTGGCCTCACGGAGACTTGGGTAAGCAACAGGCGGCACTCAGGACTCTCTTCTCAACCTTGCTGTTCAGACTTGTTAAGATCTCAGAGTCCACAGGAAAGAAGTCACTGTTGCAATAAAAGCACCCGTAGTAGCAAAAACATAAACAATAAAACTTCCCCCACATCACAGATGATTTTGGACAAGATTTTCCAACCTTGCTGGCTACTTTAGTTTGGGACCCATTTTTTTTCTCATTTGATTTTGCTTGTGCAGAAAATAGTTTCCAGCACATGGATTGGTCTGAGAGAGAATGAGACTCAGTTGTGGATAGTCTGTTCTCTCTGAGCATGTTGGCCAAACTAGTATCATCAAATTATTGAGTGGATCATCTCTTGGAAATGCAGAACTTCTGCCACCACTTGGCTATTTGCACAGTCGTCTTGTTCTGTGTCCTTTTATCTCTCAGACCACACACATCTGGAATGCTGTGGGCATCTTCTGCCCATGGGCTCTATTTGGCACCTGCTGAGCCACAGTTGTCCTGCTGGACGTGCTGTGGCAGGTTGGTAGGACTTGCCCCCACTGTCAAGGCCTGATCTTGTCTGAAAAGCCCTCCTGGACCTCAAAGAATTCTTCGGACCTCATAGTTACAGGTCATTATATCTACTATGTTGATTTATCATCAGGCACACAACTTCTGTTTCCTTCTCTTGTGTTATCTGATAGCTTCTCTCCTTGAGCTCATCAGAAAGGTTTTATGAGATGTGAGAACCATTTTGGGAAAAGTTGATCAATTTTTCTTCCTAGCTTCCCATTTTCAAACGGGACATCACCTATATCCCTTTCAGAATGTTAGGAACTGCCTCCCACATTCTTCCCTGTCTTTTTGGGTTTTGTTTTTTGTTGTTATTGTTGTTGTTTTTTAACACAAAGTCTTGCTCTGTCAGCCAGGCTGGAGTGCAGTGGCATGAACTTGGCTCACTGCAACCTCTGCCTTCCAGATTCAAGCAATTCTCCTGCTTCAGCCTTCTGAGTAGCTGGGATTACAGGCGCCCACCACCCACCATGCCCAGCTAATTTTTGTATTTTTAGTAGAGACAGGGTTTCACCATATTGGCCAGGCTGATCTTGAACTCCTGACTTCAAGTGATCCACCTGCCTTGGCCTCCCAAAGTGCAGGGATTACAAGCATGAGCCACCACACCCGGCTTGTCCTTTTGGTTTTGATGGGAGTCTGAGGGCCCCGACTCCTCCGGCTCTCCATCTTTGAGCTTCTAGCATCCTCTCACACCCAGAAATCAGTTGGAGTAAGTCTGATTGGCCCTGCTCCAGCTGGCCTTTGAAGCACAAGTTTGAATCTCCACCTTCTGTGCACTGACCAGAGTCTAAAATAAAAGCTGTCAGTACCATAAAGGAAAAGGGATCCACACAGGTAGCCTTGTCATTGCCTACAGGTACATCTTACTTTAGAATTTCAAGTGCTGGCCGGGCTCAGTGGCTCACTCCTGTAATCCCAGCACTTTCGGAGACCAAGGCAGGCAGATCACTTGAGGTCAGGAGTTCAAGACCAGCCTGGCCAACAGGGTGAAACCCTGTCTCTGCTTAAAAAAATACAAAAATTAGCTGGGTGTGGTGGCACTCAACTATAATCCTAGCTACTCAGGAGGCTGAGACAGGAGAAGCACTTGAACCCACAAGCCAGAGGTTGCGATGAGCCGAGATTCTGCCACTGTACTCCAGCCTGGGCAATACAGCAAGACTCCGTCTTAGAAAGAAAGAAAAAAAAAAGCAAAATTTGAGAATTTCAAGTCCCTAATTCACTCTAACCAAACATTTTCAGTCTTATAAAGAAACCTAGTGCACGACACCTTTAAAATGCCTAGATTTCCATTGCCTAAAGTAAGGTGTGGCCAGGGAAAGAACAGCAGGGAATCATGTTCCTTTGCTGTGGAACACATAAGCCCCACAGTTTTCCAGTCAGCCTAATACATGGGTATCCCCCACCCCATCTGCCTCCTTAAGCCTCAGTCCTTAGTGGGGAACCCTGACTAAGGGGGATGGAGTCAGTACCCCGGACAGGGCCACATTTGCATGAGACACAGCTATCTCACAAGGAGGTCACAGAGCCTCTACGCCAGCTTACTGGTTTTTCATGGATTTGTTGGATTAACACTGTAAGCAGGTTTTGTTTTCGTTGTTTTGTTTGTTTTGAGATGGAGTTTCTCTCTTGTCGCCCAGGCTGGAGTGTAATGGTACGATCTCAGCTCACTTCAACCTCTGCCTCCCAGGTTCAAGCGAGTCTCCTGCCTCAGCCTCCCGAGTAGCTGGGATTACAGGCACCCGCCACCACGCCCAGCTAATTTTGTATTTTTAGTAGAGATGGGGTTTCTCCATGTTGGTCAGGCAGGTCTCAAACTCCCGACCTCAGGTGATCTGCCCGCCTCAGCCTCCCAAAGTGCCAGGATTACAGGCATGAGCCACTGGGTCCGGCCTTAAGCAGGTTTTTAAAATCTCCAGTGGCCATAAAACAAGCCAGGGTAGCTCATGCTTTTACTGGTTGGAATAAGGAGCCAAAACCAACAAAATAATATTTATTAGGGCTCAATGCCCATTTCTATGGCTAAGGCTTAGGTTTGGTGTGCAGAACCTGGCCTACTTTTGTGGGCTGTGGTTCCTGTGACAGTTTCGTTTTCTGAATCTTTGTAATGCTTTTCCACGTGCTGCCCAGAGGCTGATCTGCAAACCTGCGCAGTATTCCACACTGAAGCTCAGTTTGCAGACCTTTTGCTGTGTTAATTCTGGTCGGTTTCACACAGAAGTCACGAGGGCCTCTGCCCAGGACCTCCTATTCACATTTCAAGAATCCCTTTCTGAAATTATCCAAGTCTCTGGTCAGGAGGAGGAGCACCAGTGGGGTAGGGTGGGCGGTGGCTAGAGGGGCAGGAGCGAATCCAGGTTCCTTGTGTGGTTTCCAGCCTCTGCTGACAGCACCTCAGCTACCAGGTGGGGAGTGGAAATTCAGGCTGCTTAGAGGACTGACCTCTACAGTTAATATTTGCAGTGACATAAAAGGCAAAGAGGGGCTGGCGTGGTGGTACAGAAGGTATCAGTCAAGCGCAGGCTCCTCAGAAACCTAGAAACCAAAAAGCAGATGCGACATGTGACTGGCCATCAGCCAGACATGTCTAGGGTGAGACCAGTGCTCAGCACCACCTGCCAAAGGACGCTGATGAGTTGTGGGACATAATGATCTGCCAAGTGAGGAATGACTGCAGGGACCGGAGAAGACCAAAGATGCCACATGTCCCAAGAGTTTCTTGAGGGCTGGGTTTCACATCTCTGATTGTCCTTTTTGTCCCCACCTGCCTGCACCGTGCCTGACTCCATCTTGTGGGGAAGGTGACTCAAGAAGTTGTTTAAGCCCAGGCCTAGGCAGTCCACCTCGGGAGGTGGGGGCACTCCACCCTGGGGGGCCTGCAGCTCCAGGGCTGGTGCTCTAGCAGATCCACTCAGGCACGGTTGGGTGACTGGGGGGTCACCGATTGGGTAGATTATTTCTAGGGCAGTGCTGGGTTAGAAATGTCTGCCAGTGGGTCTGTCTGGAAACGGGACACATCTTCCCACCACAAGTCCACACCTGGCCTCGGCTGCTGCCCGCTCTCTGCAACGTGGACTTCCTTTGCCCATTTGGGCCAGAAGGTCACCAGGAGTTCATCATCACTGCTTGGTGTCAACTTGACATCTTCAGCTTCCAGACAAAATCTACACTTTACTTTGTACAGCCCTGTCCCAGAGTTAGTGACCCTCAGCTTGTCACCTGCTTGCAAAGGGTATAGATGCCGTCCTGGGTAGTTCTAGAGGATATCTCAGCAAGTGCGTTTGAAAGTTCAGCACAGCTGGAATTGTATGGTAGTGAGCTCTTCAGAGTGAAAACAGAATGACCGGATGGCCATCTGTCCTGGAAACTGAAGAGTTGAATAAATCACTGAAAATAGAACGCTTCGTGGAGGTTTTCTTCAGAAGTGAACTAGAAGTAAGTTTTCCAGGCTCCCAGGTCAGTAGACCAAACCAACTTCCTTCGATTTTTTTTCTTTTTAAAGCTGTTTGCAGAAAACTGGGTGGTAGCATGTCTGAACCAAATGGAAGAAGAGCCAGCGGAGCGTGCACTGTTCCAGCTCGGGCCACATGGCCAACTGTCGAGAGCAGCCCTGCCCAGACTGCAGTGGGGGCTGTGCCAGCAGCTCCGCAGGGCCCTTCCAACTCTGGAGTGTCTGTAGTTCTTGTGAAACCAAAACGTTGACTACCTGCCTCTTTCCTCGGGCATCGACGTGCTCATTTCCAAAGATGATGGTGCAGGTGACCTTTTCCATCGTGAGCCAGGAGAAGGTTAGGAGGCCTGAGGGGCAGGCGTTGCGTCCCCTCCTCCCCCTCCATAGCCCCCAAGGTGGAGCTTCCCTCACAGACCCCATCTGGTCGAGCCTACGGCTGCCCAGTGTACACTCAGTGATGCTTATACCAAATAGGGCATGTGTGCTGGTGTCTGTTGGGGACAGCCCCATCCCTACCTTGGAGAATTGCAGAGAAGCAGCAATAAGCATTAGGCGAATGATTGAAAGGACTGCTGGGCCGAGAGGCCTTCAGTCCCCTTACGTGGCTTTCCAAGTTCCTGATGAGGCTACAAAGGCTCCACTCATAAAAGAAAGCCAATAGTGTAAATAAGAACGAAGCCTCCACGCGTGATTTTTAAGGGGGATGATGAATGTGAAACCACCCACAGAATGCGTTAGAGTCTGGTTTTTCTGTGCTTTGTCATTTTACTCTGATAGGAACTTTTGTTACCTAACTCTGTGCATAACTTATTTAATGTACTGTATAAATGAACCAAAACTGTTAAATATGTATTTAGTTTGTTCTACTTAAAGTAGTCAATAAAAAGGCTATATTCCTTTTCTGCCTCAAGCTGGAATGGGACCAGGAGGAAAGGTGGTCCCTACACTAGGAGGTGTCCCCTCACCCTTATTCCCAAATCCTTGAGGAAGAGGGAGAGAGGGGCCCCAACTGGTTCTAGTCATGGCCTGAAGAGTGCCCAAGGGCATGAAGCAGGGGGTGCCTGCACCCCATGTGCCTGGAGCTGGCCTCTCTGGAAAACCAGCTGCACCAACTGGTCAGTGCCCTGTGGGGACCAGACCCAACCAGGCTGGCTGCTGGAGCCCACCAGTGGGCCTTGCGGTCAGGGGCCAACAACAGCTTCCAGACACTCCCCATTACTTCTCTCTTAAGTGGTTTTTTTGTTTTGTTTTTGGGGGTGGAGGCGGGCAGGGTCTCTGTTGCCCAGGCCGGAGTGCAGTGGTGCAATTATGGATCAATGCAGCCTCCACCTCCCGGACTCAGGCAATCCTCCCACCTCAGCCTCCTAAGTAACTGGAACTACAGGCATGGGCCACCACGCCTGGCTGATTTTTTGTATTTTCTGTAGAGACAGGGTTTCACCATGTTGCCCAGGCTGGTCTCAAACTCCTGGGCTCAAGCGATCTGCCTGCCTCACCCCCGTCAAAGTCCTGGGATTACAGGCATGAGCCACTGCACCCGGCCAAGTTATCTTGTAATAAGGAAAAATGAACCACGGAGAGTCTGACCATCTGTCCTGCCTGAACAGGGTGGTGGACTTGTGGATATATTTTCTAGTGACTTATGTATTTTCTTGTAAAATTTTAACACAAATGTCAACAGACCTAGACTTGTCAATATTCACTTATGTCCTTATGACACTGATGTTAAATCACAGGTAATTTTACTGTTGCCTTCCAATTTATTTGCTTAATGGTTGCATCATTTAATTGAGGCCATAATTTTTTTTAACTCTTCACCTCCTGTTGGGCAGTTGGATCGCTTTCGCGTTTTCTGGTGCAGCATACATCTATGCGTCCTTTGCATTATTTATTTCCTTAGGATAATTTTCCAAAGTGGAATTTTTGATACTGAACATTTCTTGGATCCTTGAAATCTGTACAAACTACTCTCCCTAAAAGTCCAACAGCTTGCATTGCCTCCAGCAGTCCCTGGGTGGTACTTTCTGTGGCCCAAAGGCTGGTGCAGGCACACCTTTGTGTGGAATTTCAGGCTGCCAGTCTGGTTTACCAGCCGGTGAGCTGAGGCCTCAGTTCTGTCACTTGAATACCCATCTGTGCTCTCTCCCTGAGACCCGCCTCTCCTGAACAGCCTTGCCCAAGAGGCTTGTTGCCACCACCAGCTTCACAGTCCCCTAGAATGCAAGGGGAGACGGACTGGTTACTAGGTCTGGAAACAGGGAGAAGGGCTGGCCTGTGGCCTAGGGCTTGGCTGTATGATCTTTAATGCAGGTGGTGCCAACTGCAAAGCTTTCTGGACTGCACTGCAATCTGCCCACCTAGAACAATGACAAGATCTCAGCCATGGGACTGTCAGCCCTGCACAAGAGCACTATGTTGGTGGAAAGGGAATGTGCCATAGAAATGGCAGGCTGAAAATCTTTTCGTGACCGCAAAACACCCAGATGCCAGATAAATTATAATGAATGTACTTTTAACTGCATTGCTGAGGTCACAGATAGGACATTCCAAGAACTCAAGAGTTGGAGGGAGACTGCCTCTAGGCACAATGTGAGACTTGGTTTTGAGCATATACAAAGTGCAGAAACAAAACTGGGGCCTTTCCCCAAAGGCAGATAGCTCAGTACCTTTGGCACCGTGAAAAGGCGGCAGGGAAGATCTGCCCACCTGCAGTGGAAACTGAATTGGAAACAGCTCTGTCCCTGCTTGAGAAAAAGGAAAAAAGAACTGGGACGGGCATGGTGGCTCACACCTATAATCCCAGAACTTTGGGAGGCTGAGATCACTTGAGCCCAGGAGTTTGAGACCAACCTGGGCAACATAGTGAGACCCCCGTCTCAACAAAAATTAAAAACTTAGCTGCGCATGTCAGATTTATACTGAAGGAAGGTCAGGGAATCCTGGTGCTGAGAAATTAAGATAATTAAGGACCTTCAGGATCAATATTGTGTGTCAACCAATTATAAGCTGTCCGGAAACGACACTGAACCTTCAAGGAAATGAGCCATTGTTAGCAAAGTCATCAGGAACAATAATTGATTTAGACGCCTGGGACTTCAGATATTACAATCACCAGATACAGGCTGGGCACAGCAGCTCACGCCTGTAATCTCAGCACTTTGGGAGGCTGAGGCAGGCAGATCACAAGGTCAGGAGTTTGAAACCAGCCTGACCAACATGGTGAAACACATCTCTACTAAAAATACAAAAATTAGCCAAGCATGGTGGCACACGCCTGTAATCCCAGCTACTCAGGAGGCTGAGGCAGGAGAATCCTTGAACCTGGGAGGCGGAGGTTGCAGTGAGCCAAGATCGCGCCACTGCACTCCAGCCTGGGCGACAGAAAGACTCAAAAAAAAAAAAAAAGGGTGGGGGGGGCACCAGAAACAGAAAACAAAATATGAAACCTCTAAAGATGGCACTGAAAAAGAGCAAAAAGTCTGAAAATGACTAGGCAGATTTGAAAATAGAATTCTGGAAATGACAATCATTGAAATAATGCATTACTCAACAATAGATTACACCAACCTGAAAAAGAAAATTAGTGGTGTGTTACCTTTGTCAGAAAGAGACAGGCTGGGCGCGGTGGCTCATACCTGTAATCCCAGCACTTTGGGAGGCCGAGGCGGGCGGATCACGAGGTCAGGAGATCAAGACCATCCTGGCTAACACGGTGAAACCCCATCTCTACTAAAAATACAAAAAATTAGCCAGGCGTGATGGTGGGCGCCTGTTGGTCCCAGCTACTCGGGAGGCTGAGGCAGGAGAATGGTGTGAGCCCGGGAGGCAGAGCTTGCAGTGAGCCGAGATAGCACCACTGCACTCCAGCCTGGGTGACACCATCTCAAAAAAAAAAAAAAAAGAGAGACAAAGAATTGGGAACTATGAAAGATCTGTCCCTCTGGAAGGTTAGGAGGGGAAAGCCTTCTCATGTGTTACCAAGGGCAGCATCCAGGAGCCTGCTGACTGGTGTTTCTCAGCAGAAAGGGGACTGTCCTGAGGTGGGGGTAGGATCTTGGGAAGCAATCGTGTCTCTTGCCCATCTCTGCTTCTTTCTGACTGCTGGTATTTCAGGGTCAGGGTCACGATTAGGCATGTCCTCTTCTTAGCCTTCCTCCCAAAGAGGCTTGGAGGAACCGGCGACCGACCGTCCCCACTCCTCAGGTGACTTCATTGCCTGCTGCCAGGAGCCCTCTTGTGGACAGAGCTGGGCTTTCCCCCTGGGTTGCCACCATCCCTGAGCCAGATTCCTTTCCAGAGTACACACCAGCAGCTTTTCCTTCCCCTTCCCATTAGCGTTTTCTCAGGCTGCCTTTCCACCCCATGAGTTAACATTCTCTAAGTTCCTCCTAGGGAGTTCCAGAAGCTATCGGGGCTCAGTCTCCCCACCTTCTGAGGGCTGGCTCACCCGTCCCCTCGCACTGGGCTCGTGCTTGCACCCTGTCTGCCTTTTGCAGCTCCCAAGGCCATTGTTCCTCTTTTTGGTGTAGCTGCCTCTGCCTCCTCCAGCCAGGGCTGGTTTCTGCTACCAGAGGGTGCCCTGTCCCAGTGCTGTTCACTCCCGACGGCTAGCAGCTGTTGGTGCCAGGGAGTCGATCCCCCCTGCATGACCTACTCACTGAGCTTTTTCCTCCGTAAGCTGGGGATGCTAACAATGTGTACGCCTCTGGGGTGTTGTGAGGGTAAGATGCAATCAACAACATGGGTATAGCCCCTAGCACACAGCTTGGCACCCAAGGCGTCCCTGTAAACTGGTTGCTGCCATACCTGTTTCTCTCCCTGCCAATCTGTGGTTTCCTTGAGGACTGGTGTTTGTGTCCAGCACTCTATGTGGAGCCTGGTGTCCTGCACGAGTAGTATGTTTCAAGAATAATTTTTTGAAGACCACCTAGTTCTCAGTCCCTTTCAGCCCATCAGAGGCTGTGTTAAGGGGACTTGTTAGGAGAGCTGTAGGGCATTGGCCACCGTCTAGACTGTTTCTGGCTGCAGCCTGGCCTGGCACTGGGCCAATCCCCAGGACAGGTTTGAATATATACAGGTGCAGGTGTGAGGAACAGGAGAGGGCAGGTGCAGGGAGCGAGTGGAAGGGTGGGGGGCGGCACCTGGCTAAGGAGCCTGGAGCTCTCCTGACTTCAGGGCTCTGCCTGCCCTTGACCGAGTGCTGTCACCAGCCCAGGACATCTGATAATCCCCAGCACCTGCCACAAAGCAGGTGCCCAATGGTTGTCAAAAGGAGCTGAAGACCCACCAAGAGCAGGATTGGGAAAGGCGCCCCAGTGCAATGGCACTCCCTGCTTCTCACAGTGGAAGCGTGGCTGTGGTGGACAGGGGTGGCTTGGGACAAAGGCCATGGACAGGGTAACTGGGGTTGCAAATGGCCCAGCTCAGCTGGAAAGCGCCTTGACTGCCAGGACATGAAATTATGACCTTGATGCTGAAGGCAGTGGGTGCCACTGAAGGGTCTTGGCCAGAAAGGTGCGTTTTCAAAATGGCAACGTTTTGAAAACCCCCTCTGGCTGTGTCTTTATAGGGAACGGATGGGGTAGGAGCCAGGTGAAGAAGCTGCTGCAGTCTTCCAGGCCAGAGAGAACAGTGGCCCTGACTTGGGGGCTGGGGCAAAGCACAATGGTGGGGATGGCAGGCTACAGGTGAGGTGGGCTCATGAGATTGACAGACGAGGCAGAGGCTTAAGGGCTTCCTCCGGGTCCCCACAGCCCCAGCCCAGCTCTGACGTTTGTTCTGTGGCTGCGCTCAGCTCCACTCCCACCCACTCCCTGTCTGGCACCCTCCTGTCTCCCTGTCACCTGCAAGACAACATTCCACTCCCATGCACCCGGCCTCCTCAGCTGGCCCCAGCCCTCACACTCCAAGGCTCCCTTCTGCCCTCGCACCTGCCCAGAGACCTCTGCTCAACTTTCACAGCTCAAACCAAACGCTCTCCTAAGTGGCCCCCTGACCCTGCTGGACATCCCCGCCTGCGTGCCCTCCCCTGCAGCTCCAGCCTTCGGGAGGGAAGGAGGACACAGCCTCTATTAAAAATCATAATAAAGAGGTGTCCTACCTTCAGAACTGCACTGCAGAGGGAGGCAGGCATGGTGCCCAGGGCACAAAAACTAAGGAGACACCCACCACAGATAAGTCAGCCTGAGGGTTTGGGCATGTTTAAAGATGGCAGTGGGCTGGGCACGGTGGCTCATGCCTGTAATCCCAGCACTTTGGGAGGCCAAGGTGTACGGATCACTTGAGGGCAGCAGTTCGAGATCAGCCTGGCCAACATGGTGAAACCCCATCTCTACTAAAAATACACAAAAATTAGTGGGTGTAGTTGTGTGCACCTTTAATTCCAGCTACTTAGGAGGCTAAGGCAGGAGAATCACTTGAACTCAGCAGGCAGAGGTTACAGTGAGCCAAGATCACACCACTGCATTCCAGACTGGGTGACAGAGCAACTCTGTCTCAAAACATAATAAAAAAAAAAAAAAAAAGATGGCAGTGGGAATTTTTTTTAGTTTTGAGGATTTGTTGCTACAGTTTTTGTGGAGGACAAAAGCAGCCTTTACAACACAGGATGGAAAGCAGGGCAACTTCCTCCTCAGCTGTCTTCTCTAACAAGACACACTGCCCAGCCTGGGCAACACGACGAAACCCCCATCTCTACAAAAATTAGCTGGGCGTGGTGGTGTGCACCCATAGTCCTTGGCGCACTGCAACCTCCGCCTCCTGGGCTCAAGCGATTCTCCTGCCTCAGCCTCCCAAGTAGCTGGAATTACAGGCACACACAACTACACCCGAACAAGCCTCAAGCCTGCTCAGAGCCCAATGTGGTTCAGATGGTGGCGGCACTTTCTAGGAGCTCCCAGGGATCTGTGAAGTGGGGTGGCAGGAGGATGGCCTGGCACTGGACTGGCCAGGATGCCACCAGGGACCTCTGTGCAGGTGGCCCAGGCAGCCAGGCTGGTGGAAGAAACTCTCCCGCAGGGGCTGCCGGGGAGAAATCGCAGGGAAGGCCCTGCCTGGAGTCCCAGATGGGGATGCCCACCCTGAGCTGGTGCCATCTGAGTTACCTTTCTAGTCAGGCCCCCCAGCCCAGTCAGGACCTGGCGCCATCAGGGCATTCGGGAACATGGAAACAGCACTCACCCCACCGGCCACCCCTCACGACTTAAAGCCTCCTATGACCTCCTCGTGATGTAGCACCTCAGAGCCCCGCCTCGCCCAGCCCCCTCCCCTGCACCCTCAGCTCAGCCCTGCTACTGGGTCGCCCTTGGTTCAACCAGGCAAACCCTCCTCCTCCTCAGGGCCCGTGTGCTGTCTCCTCTGTCTGGAAAACTGATGCCAACACTCCCGGGCCAGGTCAAATGCCATCCTGTGCCCCTGTGGTGCCAGGGGCTTCCTCTTCAGAGCAGTTGCTTAGATGTTAGATGTCCCTCTCGGCTGGGTCGCCTCCCCTCCATGCCCCCAGTAATGGAGGGGACAGGAGGACACCCCCAGGGGCTAGTAGGACTGGCTTGGCCTTTGTCCTCCTGGAACCACTCTATGTGGGGTGGCGGTGACAAGTCCAGCTTGGTGAGAAGGCCAAGTCTTCCCACAGGAGCATGGTCGAGCAATCTGGGCCCGGAGGAGGCTCTGTGTGGGTGACACTAGAACCCCTGTAAAACCTGCAGAGACATATCACCCCTCCCTCAGGCAGGACCCGCCACCAGGGAGTCAGGGCCGGGGACCCTGAAGTGGGAAGACTTGTGTCAGCTCTTGTGAGCATCCACTCTGCAAGCGTAAGGGCACAAGGTGGGAACCAGGGGGCTTCCCGAGAGGTGCCCCCCCGGAGCTTTTGGCCTGGGAGGTACACAGGCCCCGCAGCCCAGACCTGCGAGAGACAGGAGGCGACACTGGAAGGGACCACTGCCTTTATTGCCTCTGTGCTGGGGTCCCAGCCTGGGCTTCAGAGGCCTCTGGGGGCAATAGGTGACCCTGGGCCCAAATTATTGCTACTTGGCCAGGTCACCTTGGGGCTTCCCATAGTGCCCTGAGAATGGGTGGGGTGAGGGCATGCAAATGATAAGAAAATGGCATGCAAACCAACCCAGAGGCCTCTGGCACATCCATGGGTGCTGGAAGAGTCAGAGCCTAGTGGCCTGGGAGGGCAACAGGGGCACCCAGGTCCAGCCCAGCCTCAGGGGCAAGGTTTGAGGGGTTGGGTCCCTGAGCATCAGCCCTGCTTCTGCTGCTAGCTGGGAAGGAGCAGAAGCCTGGCCCCAAGACAGCGGGAAGAAAGCAGGACCCTTGCTAGGCAGCCAGATGGCCCAAGGCCCACCCACACAGGGACAGAACCTGCCCTGGGTCGCTCAGCCAGGAGGGACCAGAATCCAGGTCTCCTGAGCCAGGCAGAAGCCAAAGTAGCTTGGAGGCTGAAGTGACAAACAATAAAATACATGGATAAATAAATCAATAATAAATAGAAAGCAAGCAGCCCAGTCCCTGATCCCTGGGCTGAGAGCCCTTCCACCGGGCCCAGGTCCAGGAGGAGGCAGGCCCTGGTCTTTGCGCTGGGTGGGCTGGCCAGGGCAGAAGGCTCCAGAGGGAGGGAGGCAGGGTCCCGGGGTCCTCGGCGTGTGAAGGTCTGGCTCAGTTGTTATTCATTATCCACCAGGAGGCTGGGGGTCAGAGGTCGGGGGGTCAGGAGCCCTCAGGAGCCCACTGCCCCTCCCAGGCGACAGTGAGTGGGGGTCTGCCGCACACCTGGGAAGAACACAGTGGTGAGGGTGTCCGGAGCCCGCAGGTGGTCGATGAGGACGCGCTGGAAGGCCTTGCTGCAGGGCGACTGCTGGTGCCTGCGGAGACACGCAGGCTGCCATGACCTCGGTCTCCCTACTCCTGCCCCACCCTGCTGCCAGGATCAGACCCCGGCCCTTCTCACGCTGCCTCTGAAGCCTCAGTCCTCTCCCCTTTGACACGAGGACGCTGTGCAGGTAGAACGAAGGGCACCGCACACAGTGCTCGGCATAGGCATTGTCACATGCATGGTGACAAGTGTGTGTTCACTAAGTGCCTCCTGTGTCCCTGTGCTGTATTCAGCTCTTCCCAGTCACCTCCTTTAGCCCACAGGAGTTGGAACTGTTACCACTTCCATTTTGGAAAGGACTCGGGGGTTGGGCAGGTGGGGTCACTCATCTGAGGTCACAGAGCCAGTGAGTGGGAGAGCAGGATTAGAACCCTGGCCTGACTCACTCCAGGGTCACAGTCCATGGTGTTAGCGGCCAGACTGGCACTCATACCTTCTCCAGGAGGCCTCATCCTGCCAGAACTCATACAGGGTGAAGGAGGCACCGTCCGGCATCTTCTGGGCAGACACACTGCGGGGCCAAAGAGATGGGCAGGCCAGGCCAGGGCTGCCACCACCTCTGCCTCCCTGGCCTGGGGTCTCATGGGAGCCCTGGCCCAGGACGTCCAGCCCCAGCACCCCTCTCTGCCCCAGCACCTCTCCCCTCCTCAGCCATCCCACCTGCCAGCTGGGGACTCACTGCAGACAATGGCTCTGGGCCCCTGTGAAGTCCACATAGCAGCGCAGGGCTCGGTGGAAGTCCTGCAGGCCTTCCTCTGCCACCTGCACCTGCCTCTGGGCCACGAGGATGTGCTGGTGGGAGAGGCAGTCGGTCAGCCGGTGTGGGGCTGGGCGCAGGGGAGGGACTGGCCGTGGCCTCTAGGAGGTTCCCAGCTGTTTTTTTGTTTGTTTGTTTTTAAGACAGGATCTTATTCTCACTCAGGCTGGAGTGCAGTGGTGTGTGGGATCATGGCTCACTGCAGCCTCTACCTGCCAGGCTCAAGCATCCCATCTTGGCCTCTCAAGGTGCTGGAATTACAGGCATGAGCCACCTACACCTGGCCCCCAGCCTTCTTGACTGATGCCAGATCCAACCTACCCTTTAGCTGGGTTCCTGCTGCCAACCTGCCCCCCAACCTCCCTGTCTCCATTGTCTCCCTGTCTCCAAGGGTGCTGCTTGATCCAGCCACTGTCCCTCCTGCAGTATGCCACCACTTCCTTCCTCCCTCCAGCGTCCGTCCACACTGCCCCAGACCTGGCTTTCAGAAATGCTGACGGGGAACCAAAGCCCAGAGAAGGGTGGCGGTTCCTGCAGGTTCTCAGAACCCGCCTGGTTCTCGGCACCTGCCTGCCAGGCCTGGGGGCGGGGCACATGGGCATTGCAGAGGGTGGGCGCAGCTGGCCCCATGAACCCCCAATTCATGAGCACCCCCAGATATGGCCATCCAGCCGCTTGCCCCTCTCCTGGGCTCACCGAATCAGGCCCCTTGGCCAGGTCCTCTTCATGCAGGGGTTCCAGCCGGGGGGCCTGTGAGGGCACAGAGTATGGGCCGCGCCTCCAGCATGGGCCTGGCTCGGGTGGATACCAGGAGAGTCCTCCCTCGTGGGGCCCTGGCCCCATGGCCCTCACCTTGCACTCGAGCTGGTCGATGAGCTCCTGGAGGCGGTTCACCTGGAGCTGCCACTGCATCTCAGCCTCTGAGCTGTGCCCTGTGGGTGGGGCCCGTGCAGGGTCAGGCAGGGGCCTCTCAGGCCTGGCAGGTTCTCAGAATGAAGTAAGGGGCAGTGAAAGAGCAGGGCCTGGGGGAAGGAGGGATGCGGTGCCCGCCTTGGCCAGGCCTCCCACCCCGCCCCAGGCGCACCTGTGTCAGAAGAGCCGGGGGACCAGGTGGATGACCGGCTGCCGCTCCTCAGGGCCCGGCGTCCTGTCCGCCGGCTGCCGCAGGGCCTACTCTGCGCCTCCACGCTCTCTGCATCTGACCTAGAGAAAGTGAGGCTCACAGGGCCGAGGACTGGGGCCCCAGGACGGGACAGGCCTGGGTGAGGAAGACAGGCCTCCTGGGACTCTGAGGCCTAGCCCCAAAGCCAGTTTCATCTCACCCCACCATGGCTTCCCTGCCCAAAAATACAGCCTCTAGGATGCTGAGACTGTGGGGATTTGGAATGGGGGTACAGTGGGCGCTTGTGCACTAGCCCTGCAGGTCGGCAGCGCCCTTACATACCGCCAGCCACGGGCCTGGGCCTCCAGGGTATCTGACGCCCCCTCCAGCGAGCTCTGCAGGGCTTGCAGCTGGCTCACCGTCTCCCGCAGCAGGAAGCGCGTCACAAACTGGTCCACCTTGGAGGCTCTCTCGTACGCCTGCGGGCCAAGGGGGGACGGTCAGCATCTCCCAGCCTGGGCATTGATCTCTGAGTGGGTCCTCTGCCTCTTGCCCATCAGAGCAGCAGTGGCGGTGCCAAGAGCAGGGGCACGTAAACCCGGCACAGGCAGGAGGATACTGAGACCCGATGGGCAGGGAGGGTCTGGATCCCTCCTTGTCCGGGCCTGGCCTCCCTCCCCGGAGGTGTGGAGCCAACTCACAGCAGGCATCTGCCTGCCGACGTGCCTGGCTTTTCTGGACTTCACGGCCCCTTCCCTGATGGGGCTACCACCTTCAGCATTGTCATAGCCAGTGAGTCCCAGGCACAGCTAGGCTGGGTGGGGCTGTCACAAGGTATCCAAGGGCCAATGTTGACACGAGGCAAAATGATGGCCTGGTGTGGCCCCAGACTCACAATCTACGTGTTCACTCCCTCATTCATTCACTCATGCACACAACACTGGATGCTTTTTACTAAGAGCTGCTAATAAAGACAATCAGGTCACCGTCCTCACTCACACAGACACACACACACACACCCGCTGGCACTGACCCCAACCGCCACTGCCAGCCTCCTCTCAGCCCCTCTCAGGGCGGCAGAGAGGCAGGGAGGCTGCCCACATGTTAGGCCCGGCGTGGCCCAGCATGGGATTCTGAGGCTTCTCAACTACCTTCACTTCCTGGGGCTTCCGTTTCCTCATCTATCAAACAGGAAAGATGAAACTCAGCATATGGAGCTGCGAGAAGCTCCCAGGAGTTAATTCCTGCACAGGACTCAGCCCAGGGTCTGACACATAAGCTCTCAATGCTAGACCTGCCAGCCGTCTATCGTCAAGGGTAACACAATAAAGGGCCTGCCCACTTACACACCCAGGAGTCACAGACGTCCTGAGAATTGCCTAACCCCCACCACACACACACACACACACGCAAACACACACGCGTGCGCACCAGAGTGGGAGTCCTGGGGAGCTGTGGTCCAGGTGCCTGCCCTCTTCGAGGGGACTCCAGAGGTCCCATCCATCAGAGATTTCATCTCCTGCCACAACCTGCCTCAGCTCAGCCATCAGATGGGACCTCCTGGGCCAGGCTTATGAGTTAGGAGACAAGGACAGAGAAGAAAGTGGGTCTTTTCATTCTCAGACAGGCCAGGGTTTCTATCTCCATGAAATCTTTCCAAAAAATTCCTTTTTGGGTATTTGAGATGATGAGTTTCTGTGGCTTGCAACCAGAGAACAGATAGAAGCACCCACTCAGAGCCAGGCACTGCTACAAGAAGAATTTCATTTAGTCTTTTGTTTTTCTGAGACAGAGTCTCACTCTATCACCCAAGCTGGAGTGACATGGCATGATCTTGGCTCACTGCAATCTCGGCCTCCCAGGTTCAAGCAATTCTCCTGCCTCAGCCTCTTAAGTAACTGGGATTACAGGCCCGTGCTGCCACACCTGGCTAATGTTTGTATTTTTAGTACAGACAGGGTTTCACTATGTTGTCCAGGCTGGACTCAAACTCCTGACCTCAGGTGATCCACCCACCTCTGCCTCCCAAAGTACTGAGACAACAGGCATTAGCCACCATGCCGGGCCTCATTTAACCTTTGTAACAATTTATAGGAACCATAATTGACCCCATTTTGCAGATGAGAAAACAAGCCCAGAGAGATTTATTACCTGGGCTAAGGTCACATAGTAAGTTAGTGGCAGGGCCAAAATTCATACCCAAACCACAGAAATCCCCCTCTATTGGCCACTAAGCACCTTACATGCATTGCCTCATTTATGATCATTAGCCCAGTTTTACAGCTGAGAAACCAAAAGTGACAAAGTGAGTGGAGCCCAGATTCACCTTTAGGCCCTGGGAGGCGGTGCTCAGAGCCTGCAATTGGTGAGGTCAGCCCGTGAGGTCACAATGTTGCCAGGGCCCAGGGGGCAGAGCAGACGGAGTGTGGGCCATGGTCCCCAGTGGTGACCAGCCCTGCCATGGGAAACAATAGTTCCCACAAAAGGACCAAAGCACCCAAGCAGGCCCACAAGGAGAGGCCAGCTGACATGGACAAGGCCTGGTGGAAACAGTTCCTCAACCACCTCACTCAGAAGAAGCCGACTGTGAGTGTGGGGGATGGGGAACAGGGCTGGGGAGGCAGATGGGGGTCAGGGAAAGCTGGATAGGTGGGTGGGAATCTAGGCCTTGTGTGCAGAAGTCCTAGGGGGTGAGGGAGGAATTCAAAAATCTCTCCCAAGGATGAGGCTCCCAGGGGCCCATATGGGTGTGGATGGGGGTCTTTTCAAGGTGGCTCACGCCTGTAATCCCAACACTGTGGGAGGCCAAGGTGGGTGGATCACTTGAGCCCAGGAGTTCGAAATCATCCTGGGCAACATAGGGAGGTCCCATCTCTACAAAAATAAAAAATTAGGTGTTTGTGGTGGCGAATGCCCATAGTCCCAGCTACTCAGAAGACTGAGGTGGACTGCGTGAGCTCAAGTCAGGCATGCAGTGAGCCGTTGACAGCACCACTGCACTCCAACCTGTAGGACAAGACCCTATTTGACTCAGTCTTTAAAAAAAAAAAAAAAAAAAAAAAAAAAGGCCAGAAGGGAGGGCAGAGATTCCAGAACCAGAAAGTGGATGAGACTCGAGAGCCCAGGGAGATGAGCACGAGTGGGATTCTCTCCCAACCCTGGACAAACGGGTGGAAGTCCCAGCACGGAGAATCAGTCCTAGTTGGCATTACTGAAGCTAGAGGCAGGTGGGATTCCCCTGTGTCCTCTCCCCAGCTCCTAGGCTCAGAACTTCCCTGCCTCCCTCTCAAATGAGCAGAGGCCCTGGACCAGGCAGGGGTTGGGGGTGCTGAGAGCCCCCGACATCCCAGGGCCTGGAAGGGATCTCATAAACTTAGACGGAACTGGTCTCAGGAAGTCAGCCTGGGATGGACGAGGGTTTCCAGAAGGGAGGCGGAGTCCAGGGCGCCACGCAGGGAAGGGAGAGCTTCCCCGAGGCCTGAATTGGACAGGGGTCCCCTCCAGCCCTGTGCATGGGAGGATGACAGGACCCGGTGGATGAGGGTCCCAGGAGGAGGGCGGGGCGGCCCCGGGTCGTGGGCTCGGCCCTGGCGCGCTCTCCCCTTCACGCCCCTGTTCCACCCCCAGACCAGGATCGTGCTGATCCTCCCCCTGGACAAGCGACAGCCACTGGCCAAGGCTGGGCGAACGACTGACTACGCGTCAGGCGCCGGGCTGGGCTCCCCGGCGGCACCCAGGTTGCGCGGAGCGGGAGAAAGCGGCGACCGCGAGCTGAAGATGCCGGTGCTGCTGCTGCTGCTGCGGCAGGAGGCGCGGCAGCCGGAAGAGGGCGGGGCCAGGGCAGCGCGGAGCTGGCCGCGGCTGCGCTCGCGCCTGCGGTCCCCGGGAAAGGCTCCCAGCGAAGCCGGGCCTGCCAAGCAGCAGCCGCGCAAACGGTGCCGCTGCCCTCGCCCGCGACTCTAAGCGCTTGGCCCAGACCCCAGCCAATAAAGAGTGCGTGGCAACCCTGGAGCCTGCGAGTCCTGTCGGAGGCGTCTGGGAGGTGGAGTCGGGCTGGGCAAAGCTGAGCCTAGGAGCCGCACAGGGGTGAACGGGGCGTATTGAAGGCAGAGCCACCGCCACGTCTGTAGCCAGGGCTGTCTTTTACTTTCTCCTTACATGTGCCAAGGGTCAGAACAGAACCCCACACCTTGCTACAGTGGCGGGAGGCAGTTTCCCTCCCCCAACACTCCAAACCCAGGTCACATCCCGCTCAGTCTGCAGGCTCAAGGGAGGTGGGCTTGGGCAAACCCAGGCGTGGCCACGCTAGTGAGGGGGATCTGCTTCCGGTAAAGCCTGACATCCCCCCACAGTCCCAGGCCAACAGGCACCATCCTGGGTAAGAACAGCCAGGGCGGCAGTCAGCTGGGGCAAGGCCTGAAACGTGGATTCTGCCTGTGGACGCACCCAGGAGAAGCTGGAAGCCCTCTGGCACCTCACTCCTACACATTGTACTTGGTAACCCCAAAGCACTCAGGCCCTCCAGTCTTCCCCAAGGTACCTCTGTCTCCCAACCTACCCTGTATCTCCTTCCCCACATGACAAAGACTTCTTCCAAACCACTCACCTGTCTAGAGCAGCTCATTCCCCTGCTCATAAGCTTTCAATAGGTCTCCATTACCAACAGGGAAAAAGCCCACAGTCTCAGTCTCACTCCCCAAATCACTTAGAAGCAGCCCTGCCACACTTTCTGTGTGGGATCCTGCTGCTGCTTCTCACTCTCCCAGGTCCCAAATCCAGCTCCACACCCAATGCCACTCCTGGCCTGCTGAACCTGCAGCCTACCTTCCTGTCACACCCTGGTGACCAACCTCAGGATGCCCTCTTTTGGGGGCAGATGCAGCAGGACTGAAGTCCCAGCTCACTAGAGCCACCAGCCCAGCTTCTGCTGAAGATATACTTTTGTCACCGTCACCATGATGAACATCTCCTCCACCTTGCCTGCACCAGGCTGGAGGCTGCATAACATCACTCCTGCTAATTGTGAGAACTGACTCTTCCCTACCATCCACGTGGTAACAATCAGGGTAACCACCTTCTTCCATGGGGCCGCACTTCCTGCCCATACAGTGATTGGCCCAAGCTGGTCCTGTCAGCCCCTCCCCCTAGGACTGTAGTTCAGGAACTATAGGAGACCATGCTCTCTACTTGAACATGCACAGGCTAAGTCAATCTTCAGAATAAAAACACAATGCAGGCCAGGCACAGTGGCTCACGCCTGTAAACCCAGCGCTTTGGGAGGCTGAGACGGGCGGATCACGAGGTCAGGAGATCAAGACCATCCTGGCTAACACGGTGAAATCCCTTCTCTACTAAAAATACAAAAAATTAGCTGGGCATGGTGGTGGGCGCCTATAATCCCAGCTACTCTGGAGACTGAGGCAGGAAAATCGCTTGAACCTGGAAGGCAGAGGTTGCAGTGAGCTGAGATCATGCCACTGCACTCCAACCTGGGTGACAGAGCGAGACTGTCTCAAAAAAAAAAAAAAAAAACGAACACCACCACCACCACAATGCAGTGCACATCCTGGGTTCCCTACAGCCCTGCAGTCAGATTCTGTTCCTGAAACCTGATTTCACCCTTGCTCTTGGTATCCATAACACATAAGATCCTTGTAATAAAGTCCTTATTTTGGCTTACATTCACCCGAGTCTTCTACCTGCAACCAAATCGGTCCTGAAGAGGATGAGGCTTTGCCGAGACAAGAAGTGGCCTCTTTCCTGTGTGGTGGGATTATTACTACCTTTTGGAGAAAACCAAACCCAGAGAAAGATCAAGACTAGGTTAGGACTGCACAGTGAGTCAGCTTCAGAACTGAGTCTTGCTGGGTGCGGTGGCTCACATCTGTAATCCCAGCACTTTAGGAGTCCAAGGCAGGTGGATCACCTGAGGTCAGGAGTTCAAGACCAGCCTGGCCAACGTGGTGAAACCCTGTCTCTACTAAAAATACAAAAATTAGCCGGGTATGACGGTGCGCGCCTGTAGTCCCAGCTACTCAGGAGGCTGAAGCAGGAGAATAGCTTGAACTCGGAAGGCAGAGGCTGCACTGAGCTGAGATTGCAACACTGCACTCCCAGCCTGGGAGACGGAGACTTTGTCTCAAAAAAATAAAAACTGAGTCTCAAATTCAGGCCCACGTGAATCTATCCATGGAAGCCCCTAAAGGTAGGGCCAGAGCCTGTCGGGGCTCTTCAGGGAAGCTGTAGATCTGTGACTAAAAGCTTTTTCTTCAGCACTGGGAAGGTAAGGGCCACACATCTGGCCAGAGTACATCAGATAACTCTAAGTGGTTTGAGAAAGGAATCAGATTGATTGTGCTGGGCTGCTGAAGCCAGACCCCTGGATGCCAAAATCACTGCCCTTGGCTCTGTCCAGGAGAGAGGATGGGTCCAGGGAGTTGTCATAGGGTAGGGGGCTGTGGAAGGGCAGCTGCTGGGGAGTGAGGTCACAATGAGACCAATCCAAGTTCTTTTCTGCCTTCTGACCAGCTCCTCCTCCCTCCACAACCGGGAACTTCCGTCAAGCCCAGGTGAGAGGTGCCAGGAGGCTGCCTGGGTCCCCAAGGGGGATATATGTCCAAACAGCCTTACCACAAGGCCCCTTCGCCTTCAAAATTCTGCTCCTCCTGGGGGCTTCTTAGGATCTAAAAGGATCAGTCCTAGCCATCTCGTCAGCCATCTCAGCAAGCGCTGACGGGGAGGAACAGCAAAGGAGAGGCGAGTCCTGAGAGTGTGGGGGCCCGGTGCAAGGCGTGGAGCTGGAGCCCGGCGCCGGAGGAAGACGAAGAGGGTGAGATGCGGCTGGAACCCAGCCAGAGCAGAGACTGAAGCCTGAACTAGGGTCCAAGCCTCAGGCCTAGGGACTAGGCACGAGCTGAAGAGGTGGCGGACGGCCCGGAACAAGAGGCGGGCCTTTCAGACCAGAGGGCGGAGCCAAGAGCTGAGAGGGGTGGTGATGTGATCCAGAAGAGGAGGAATTTAGGCCCCGGAGGCAGAGCCAAGGGCTCAAAGGGACCACTCCCTAGCACAGAGGCCGAGAGGTCTCGGGCCGACTAAGCCGAGTGGCACGAAGGAGCGGAGCCTTCAGCCCCGGGGCTGAACGGAGCCCGAAGGTGGCGTCGCTGTCGGGGAGCCGCCGTGTGCACCGACCGCCCTCCCTGGGCCGCATCGCGGTGGTGGTGGACCAGGGCTCGGGTTTCACCAAGGCGGGCTTCGCGGGCGAGAACCAGCCGCGAATAGTGCTGAAGAGCTCCAGCCTGGTGCCCAGCTGGGACCGGCCGGTGCTGCCCGGCGCGCTGGGCTGTGAGCTGGCAGGCGGCGTGGCGCGGGCGCACCCCATCAAGCACGGCGTGGTGGCAGACTGGGAGGCGCTGGAAGGGCTCTGGGAGCGCCTGCTGGTGGGCGGCCTGCGGGTGTGCCCAGAGCAGTGGCCTGTGCTGGTGAGCGACTCCCCGTCGGCGCCACCCGCAGGCCGCGAGAGGGTGGCGGAGCTGCTGTTCGAGACCCTGGCAGTGCCCGCGTGCCACATGGCTAGCACCGCGTTGTTGGCGCTCTGCTCCACTGGCGCGTTCAGCGGGCTGGCCGTAGAGGCGGGCGCGGGCGTGTGCCACGCCACGCCCATCTACGCGGGTCACTCGTGGCACCAGGCCACCTTCCGACTGAACGTGGCAGGTAGCACCCTGTCGCGCTACCTGCGGGATCTGCTGGTGGCGGCGAACCCTGACCTCTTGCAGCACGCCCTGCCCCGCAAGGCCATCACACATCTCAAGAAGCGCAGCTGCTACGTGTCCCTGGACTTCGAGGGCGACCTCCGCGACCCCGCCCGCCACTATCCGGCCAGTTTCAGCATGGGTAACGGGAGCTGCGTCTGCCTTAGCAGCGAGCGATTCCGCTGCCCCGAACCCATCTTCCAGCCAGGCCTGCTGGGCCAGGCTGGGCCGGGGCTGCCCGCGCTGGCCTTCCGGGCGCTGCAGAAGATGCCCGAAACGCTGCGGATACGACTAGCAGACACCGTGGTGCTGGCCGGTGGCTCCACGCTGTTTCCTGGCTTCGCCGAGCGCCTGGACAAGGAGCTGGAGGCGCAGTGCCGGCGGCACGGCTACGCGGCTCTGCGGCCCCACCTGGTGGCCAAGCATGGGCGTGGCATGGCTGTGTGGACCGGCGGCTCCATGGTGGCCTCCCTTCACTCCTTCCAGCGCCGCTGGATAACCCGGGCCATGTACCAGGAGTGTGGCTCCAGGATGCTGTACGATGTGTTCAACTGAGTCAGGCTGGACTGAGGGGTGGCAATGCGGTGGGGGACAGCTCTCTATCTAAAGAGTCAGGTGTTTGGAGCTGGCAGGGTCCTCCTGGAGGGTGGAGCTGACTGGATGGGTCACCCCCAAACCCTTTCTGGGCCAGGAGGTGGTATTTGGGACCCATGGGACCCTCATTTTCAACTGTAATTTGAATCTCCCCAACCTCTGCCAGTTCAGAGAATGCCAGTCCAGCTGCCTACCCCCAGGGCCCTACTTTATGGCAATAAAGGTGATGTCCCCACTTGTGTCCATGCCACAGATATGGGAGTTCCTCCAACCTCTCGTCATGCCAGGCCCCAAGGGGCAATCCTTTGAAAAGCTACTAAATCTCATGTGAAAGTCACCAGCAGGAGGAGCCCTGTGCCTAGCCGTGTGCTCAGGTCAGCTGACGATGAGTGCCTGCTTCCCCTTCTGTAAAAAGTGGGGTCAGACACACTCCCGGGCCTGCTCACTCCCCCTTACAAGAGCCATGGAGCAAAGGCAGGTGGTGATATTTCTTGAACACACAAAGGGATGGGCGGCTTATTTTTTGGAAGTCACCACTCAAGGGCCTCAAGCCCTATCAGCACTGTTTGTGCTTGTGCATACACGTGTCCACATGTGCACACAAACGCATGGGCGCTCACGTACCTGCCTACTCACGTATGTCCTCGGGCCAGGCCCTGCCCTGTGAACCTGTGAGCACAGCCTTCCACATCTAGCCCAGCCCTGAATGATATCCCACGGCAGTTGTGACAGGCCAGCAACTAAAGCACCAGCAGCCCCTAGTATGAAGCACCTACTGTTTGCCAGATATTATTCTGGGTGCTGGAGACAGAACAAAACAACAAAAATCCCTGCCTTCGTTCTCACTTGTCACAGTGATGTATGGAGAGCAGCTCTATTGTTACGATGGTTTACAGATGAGGAAACAGGCCCAGAGAGGTCAAGGGGCACAGCTACAAAGTGGGAGCCAGGATTTGAACCCAAGCCCCTAGCTCTATAACCCTGAGTCAAGACTGTGGAGGATCCCACAGCACAGCAGATGCCCGCTGCCTCACAGTGGGCCCCCCACCATCAGCCACTCCACTCACCAGCTTGGTGGCATCCATGGCAGCGAGCACTGCACGGTTCAGCGATTCCAATGCAGCCAGCACCGGCCGGTAGACACCCAGGTGCTCTGCGAAGTAGTCTGCAGGCAGAAGAGGTGCTTGAGGGTTCCTGGACCCCCACCCATCTACCCACCCTGGGATTCTGGCCCCCTGGAATTCCTCAGCAGCCAAGCAGGCCTTATATCCTGAGCTCAGCCCAACCTGTCCCATCAGGAGACCAGCAACAGTCCCTTGCCACACCTACCCTGGGGCCCAGGGGCCCCAGGAGACAAGAGCTCCCGTGGGCCTACTCACCACACAGTTTTTCCGTTTCTAAATTGCTGCAGGGAAAAGAGAAGGCACGCTTCAGACCTGGGCCTTGTAAACTGGGACTACTGGGACCAATGCCCCACCTCCCACCCACCAACTCCCAGCTCAGTCTAACAAGGAGGCCACTTCTGCTCCGCCCCAGATTAAGTTGCTCCTGCGGACAAAGTCCTTGCAGGGTCGGAGAATGGGTTCTACTGCCCCAACTAATCACTCTGAGGGCAAAGATTCAGACCCATTCTTGGCTTCCAAGAGGATCTCAGGCCAGGGGAAGACGGATGTGGACACAGGCCAACGAGAAGTGGTCAGAGCTGCGAAGGGGAAGCCAGGTGCAGGGAAATCCAGGGACAGCACGGGGTATTTAGTTGATAGGTTAGGGAGGGTTTCCTAGAAGAGGAGCTGCCTAAGTGAGGCCCTGAAGGACAAGGAACTGGCTGGGGAGTCTGGCCAGGAGGGGAGGGGGAGTACTGTAGACGAAGGTTCCAGCCCAAGTCTCAGGAAGACTCCTGAGACTGACCCTCAGGAAATGGGAGAAGGGAAGTAGAGGGAGGTACAGCGGTTCGTGCGTGTGCACCTCTGGGAGCAGGCACGGGGAGGAGCATGCACACTCCTGCCAAGACGTGTAGATGTGGGAGCACACAAGGGGTAGATGGTGTGCGTGTTCGTGCACTGCATTCTTGGGTGGAAGCAGGCGGGGCCCAGCTGTCCCCAGGCATCCTCGGGTCACTGTGGGAAGCGGGAATGGGGAGCTGAGCCATGGGTGGTGACTCAGACTTGGCTATTTCGGGGTCCCAGCTGGAAGCAGTGTAGTGGGCAAGGCTGTAGCTGGAGAGGGGGTAGGTAGGCGGGTAAAGCTGGAACCGAGCCCCGGTACCTTTCTCCCTGCCCCCTCTTCCTCGTCCTACAAAAGGAACCAAGGCAGCAGGGGACACAGTGGGGTAAAGACAACCCGGCCTGGCATCTACCCACGGCCCCTTCTCGTACTCACTCGGTAAGATGCCCATCAATGCCGCTGAACAGTTCCTGCAGCTCCCCCGGGCTGAGAACCCCATCAGCAAAGTAATTCTGGAATTCCTCAAATGAGAGCTTCCCATCATCTGGTGGCGGGGGAGGACAGGGAGCAGAGGAGGTATCCCTGACCCTGACTGCACCCCTGCCACCACGTCCAGGGCCCCAAAGGCCTCGTAGCATCTGACAACCACCTAACCAGGTGGGATGGGATTCTGAGCTCAGTGGGGAGCCTGTTTGGGACAAAAGGACTGGGGTCCTCAAAGGTGTCCAATGAAGGCAACAGAACCTACTTTGCAAGCACCAAAGGGACAGGGCAGTACACAGCATTGGGTAGGAACTCAGTAAACGTTTGCCAAACGAAAAAACAAGCAACAGGCTGTGACATGGCTACAGTGTGGCAGGGCCTAGACGTCACCTGGAAGGATTTGGGGACCAGCCTCACTACAGGGCACAAGGAACCTCCACTCTCTGGACCCAGGACCTTCACAGAGAAGCCACGGGGAGGCAGATGGAATCTTCTACTAGCTGCAGCCTCTGTAGGCAGCAGCAGGCTGGCTCAGAAGGGAAGGAGCTCCCCATCACAGGCGCATGTGAGCAGAGGCTGGGAGCACTTATGTGGCACAAAGACATGGGATGTGGTCTGAATGATACGTGAGGTCTCTGAGCAGATGGATGTGGTGAGCTGAGCCGGAGGAGAATCTGAACCTTCACAGAGAGAATGCCCTGGTCCAAGTGAGGGCATGTGTCCTGATCAATGGGTTGGGACAAACAACCCCCGTCAATGTGAAGAGACCCACGGAGAAGGGCAAGGAGTGGGGACAGGACCCCGTCTCTAGGAGGATGAAACACAAGAGGGCATGAAGACCCAGATGAAAGGCGTCCCAGGCTGACTGCAGCGCTCAGACCCTCCACCGGCCACACAGGGTACAGTGGGCTGCTCCAGGTCACCTAGGAGGAGCAGCCTGTTGCTGGATGGGTCCCCTAGGGCTCGTGCTTTAGCTTCCAAGGTTCTCCTAGACCAGGGTCTGAGACTGCCCGGGACCCAAGGCAGGAGGAGCCGACTCCTTTGGCACTGGACCCAGCTTTATCCTTGCCCAAGGCGTGGGTTTAGTTGCGTCCTCCAAGACCTCCCTGGTCCAGATGGTTGGTCACGTGACAAGTTACTGAGCCCTCTAAAAACCTGAGTAAAATCTCCAAAAAGGTCTCACCTCCATTACCTCACTCTTCCAAGTGCCTCACACAAGGAGCCTGGGACTAAACACTGCAAAGACCCAAGTTCAAGCCTATCAATTAAAGGCTGTGTGACCTTAGGCAACCTGTTTCACCTCTTTAGGCCTCTGCTCCTTTATGAAATAGGGTGAATTCCAATCTAGCTGGTGGTTGCGAGGACAACAGGAGGCCATGAAAAGGAAGTGCCCATCACCGTGCCAGGGTGCTGTGTGAAAGTCAGCCCCTACCTCTAGCCCCTGGCCAAACCACATTCCCGCCACTCTCCATCCTGCCAAACTTGGCTGAGAACAGCACCTCCTCTGGGAAGGACGCCTTGATTGATTCTCCTGTTTTGGGCCTCCAAGATTTGTCTCGACTCTTGACTTCCCACCCAACCTTCCAAGTCTCCCTGGGCCTTCTGGATGCTTCCCACCCTGCCCCACTGTGGGACCCAGGGGAAGCCACACTCACCATTCTTGTCTGCTCTGCGGAAAACCTAGAGGACAAAGGGACATGGGGGGAACTGTGAGTGCCACCCAAGAAGCCAGAGGCCCCCACTCAACCCGACAGGGTCCCAGCTGGCTGGCCTACCCCCTGCCTTGCCTTTCCTCCTGCCCAGCCTGGTCCCAAACCCCCTGCCCAGCTCAGCCCTGCAGGAGCTTTTCCTGCAAGCAGGGCGCAGGAAGAGCACGCAGCGGGTGCCACCTCCACTCACTTCTCCTGCAGGGCCTGGCCTCGTTGGGGGTGCTCCTGGCCAGTTCCCTGCGTCCCCACCTCCCACACCCAGAGTGCAGCCCAAGTTCTATCTAATACCTCAGCCCCTGGCACGGTTCCAGTATGAGGAAGGTTGAGGAAATGGGCCGGCTTGCGGCCCAGGAATCCTGCACAGCCGTCCTAGACCTGAGCCCCGAGCTCTGCTGTGTGGCCATGGTCTATCCCAGCTGCCCTCTCTGAGTTGTTTCCTTGCATGCTGTTGAAGACAGCAGGCAGTGGCTACTCTGTCTCTGCAGGTGTCTGAGTTACCCACTAGCAAATAGATCAGGAGCAGCTGGGGTTAACTCTTTCAGGGCTGGGGCTTCCTATGGGGCTGACAGTGAGGACCTTTGGCAGGCGTGTGTGTACACACACAAGTCCAAGGGGGAGTGGGGCTGGCAGAAGGCAAGGTCAGCAGATTTCATTTATGAAGTGAAGATGAAGAGCAACAGAGGCAAAGAGGAGCAGAGTCAAGACAGGTCCCCATCTCTCTTAGTGACCTGCTCCCAGGTCACCCAAAGCAGCCCAGCAAAGGGGAGACTGGCAGGCCTGGCAAGCAGGGGTGGGCCAAGCCTGGGCTGACAGCCCCCATGAACTCCAGGTCCTGAACGCCAACTCCCTCCAAGATCCTGTTTTTTCAGCGTCAGCAGGGCTCAGAAAGACTCTAACCTCTAGCCTAACTCAGAGAAGCTCTGCCACTGGCTGAGGGACACACAGCAAGCCAGGGAGGCCCAGGTGGGGTAGATGGAGATCTTGGGAGCGGGGAGGGGTGCTAAGCTGGGAATGGGGACACCTGGGGTCACCCTGTTGTTCCTCTGCCTCCATGACTGACCTGGGACATATCCCCTCAGGCCTTGGTTTTCCTACCTGGGAAGAGGGAGGGTCAGGTCCCTTCCAGCCAGGGATGTGGTCAAGGTGCTGAGTCACTAGGGGCAGTGGGAAGGGGGCGGGAGACAGCTTTGCCTCCCTCTGGAGCTGGGGCATGAGGGGGCCAGGACAGAGCGTAGCACAGGTGCAGAAAGGGTTCAGGGCCGTGGCTGGTGCCCATGGGGGCTGCAGGGCCACCCGTGGTCCCATGGGAGGGTGACTCTGTGCAATCCTTACCAACTGTAGGACTCTGCTGCCCTGGAGTGGGGCCTGAAGGACTCTGGGGGCGGCACTAGAGTCAGAAGTGAGGGGACCCTTGTGCTTCCAGGCTCCCCTTCCCCAGTCAGCCCAGCCTGCGGCTGCTACAGAGTGGGGTGACGGCTGCTGTGATTGTCGACAGCTCCCCCCCAACACCAGACACACAAGTGGGGTGGGCTGAGGGGTGGGGGGCAGCAGGGGTAGTGACACTGCAGCAGGGACAAGCGGAGACATAGACGAGACAGAGAGACAGAACAGGGGACACAAAGGCAGAGAGGTCAAGAGAAAACAGAGACAGCAGGGCCAGAGAGAGAGGCAGAGACCCAGAGACAGCGGCGGGGCCCGAACAACCCCAGAGGGTGAGACTAACAGAGACTCGGGCGGGGAGACACCGCGAGCACAGCCCGCGCCCACTCACGTCCTGGAAGAGCGCGTGTCCGGCGGGCCCGGGGT